TTAAAAAGTTGCAGCTGGTATTTAAGGAGCTGGCTGGCTGAGTTTAATTGGCTTTCATCTGGAAGCCACTGAATCCTGAATGAGTGCTTGAATACTGAGGTTGGCGTCTGTGCTGCTGTATCGCAGGTTTGTGGACGACAAATCTACATGGGAAATCTACAAACAGTTCCTTTGGGGACCTGCCCTACTTATCAGCCCCGCACTTGACCCGGTATGCTGTAACACACACACACACACACACACACACACACACACACACACACACACACACACACACACACACATTTTTTTTCCCTTTTTCTTTTAAATGTCTACACCATTAGTGTTGGGATTGATTGTTTTTATTTGCGACTGATTTCAGGGAGTCACAAATGTGAATGGCTATCTTCCCAACGCACGCTGGTATGACTACCACACAGTAAGTATTTGTCTATAGCAATAACATTTAAAAGCAAATATTTGTTATCAATGCATTTGCATAATTCTGTTGATTAAAAGATGCCTTCACACTCTACCTGTGCCTCTAGTACTTTAATAGCATTCAATCATTTCTTTCATTAGGCCAGAGATGTTGGAGTGCGTGGCCAAATGATCAACATGCCGACACCCTTGGACCATATTAACCTGCACATCAGAGGAGGATACATCTTACCCTGGCAGAAACCCGAGAACACTACATACTACAGGTGAGCACACATTATGCCCCATACAGTTGGCTACAGGTCTGCATCCTGTGTGTAGCGTGACCTGTGTGCTTGTTTGTCGGTTAATGAGAGAGAAACACATATTGCTTGTGTGTTTGAATGTTTTTAAGTGTGAGTGGGAATGAGAGGTGGGACACTCAGGTGATGATCATTTTCAACAGTAAGGAGATCAGGCCCCTGTTTGTTCTCAGCATCAGGTTTAAATGGACGTTGTCCTTTAGATATCTGCTACAAACATTTCCACTGCTTTTTTTTTTTAGCCGGAAGAATCCTCTAGGACTGATCGTCCCTCTGAGTGACAGCGGCACCGCTGAAGGATCCTTATTCTGGGATGATGGCGAGGGAATTGGTAAGTGAAAGGTCCCTCTTAAAACACCTACACCTATCAACACACCGAATAGCATGGGGTTTGACATTTAATGTATGTGTTTATAGAGTGATTATTCACACTTATTTTCTTTTCTCAATGCATTACTTGCTTACCTGGTCATGGTGTCATTCATCCAACCAGTTCCATGTTCACTTATTCACGCCACCAATTAATTATTCACCCTTGTGTATATTTACTCTGCATACGTTAAGCCAATTATCTACTTATTTTACTTAATTGTTATTGTTATGGCTCGTCTGCTTGCGAGTCATTACTATGTTACATCATTTTTATATTTTCTCCATTTAGTCAAATGAATATCAACTCAAGTCTTCATCGGCACAAATTCTCACGTATCCGTAAGTTGTCTCTGTGTCAGTTATTTTGTTTTCATGTTCGTATTTTCTCTCCTCAGACACGGTGGAGACCAACAAATATCTTCTGATCTCATTTTCAGCACAGTCGGTGAGTTCAAGAGCCAACTACGTATCGTGTTTTTTTCATTGTCATTATTACTGTAAACGCACGCTTTAGCATTCAAAATGGCCAAATTAAGTGGATGTCAAAGGCTAACTGTTAGCAGTTGGTGGTTTGAAATAAGTTTTTCTTCAGATAAATTTCTAACTTTAGAAAATATTTTGACACTGCTATTAAAAAATAGAAAAGAAAAGGGAAAAGAAAAATGTTTTAGTGCTTTAATGATATAATATTAACACATTATTTTAATTATGTCAAAGCAGATAAGTGACCATTATAGTAAAAAAATGATAACTCAGTAGATGCTTTCAAATTACTCAAGAGCAAAGGTATTTTGTGCTTACATTTTTGTGGCTTAAAATGAACATGCTTAGTCAGAAGAGAATGAAATGTTGTGTTTCTTCTTCCTCGACACCATTTAGTTAAATAAAACAATAAAAGCCACAATGCAGTCACCACCAGTTTTGTTGGAAGGTTTCTGCAAAAGTTCATGTTTAGCAGTCAGACAAGCTCAAAGCAAAACTTGGACATGATCTCAGAGTAGATTTAGTATCTGTAGATACACCAAAGGGCTTCAAGTGTCTTCCAGTGCTGATTGTTGTCCAACATGTCATACAATTACCGCAATCCTGTAAAACTGATAGCTGGTGGAATTTATTATTATTATTATTATTTTGTTTATCAGTGATACAGATCAAATATGTAATCATTTGCACTGGATCTATTTGGTTTTCATTAACCCTCCTCCTTGTCTCCAACCCTCTCATTTAGAACACCTTGTCCAGTCAGGTGACCCACAATGGTCTTACTGCTGGTGATCGGCTGAAGCTGGGCGTCGTGAAGGTTTGGGGTGCAGGCAGTACTAAGATCACAAAGGTTACCCTGACTGTAGCTGGAGTGGCACATAATCTCACCCCAGAGCACAACGTTGACTCCCAGGTCAGTGCATTTGTGGGATGCTCATTTTTGTTATACACATCTAAACACTGTAGGTTTCTCTATTTAAATGTAAATAATTAAAGAGCGTTATTATTATCATTAATATTATACAGCTCACAAATAACGAAGAACAGGCCACATTAAATGAACGAAAGGATTAAGTTGCCCTCTGTTTTCTCTGCCTCTTCTTATAGGAGCTGATTATTGATGCGACTTCAAAGGATGTTTATGTGGATCAGCCTTTCATCATAACATGGCAAACCAGTGTCTGAGTGCGCTATTTGTGTTGACCTGTAAAAAATTAAGATATCTATGACTAATGATGGAGTAATTTAAATTAAGAAGTGAATATAGTGCATTTTCTCTGAACTTGAAATCTGAAACCTCAGTTTGTACCAAGTACAAGAGTGAAACTGTCCTGTTTACTACTGTTCTGCACTTCTACGTAAACGTCAAGCTATATTTCAGAACATTATCCTATCCACCAACTGCTGTTGTTAAAATGTGCGATACTGTAGAATCAGTGATAAGAATAATGGTTTAGCTGCTTGTGTTAAATGAATCCAAGTGCATTAACTGTATGTATTTACCATCATTCTGATCTGATAAACAAGCCACAAATAAATCAAACAACTAAAAGTGTGTTTGTTGTTCTTCTCCTGTGTGTCTCTATCTTCTTGTTGGTCATATTAGCCAATGAAAAATAGTTTGGAATGTCAGCAACAATTCATTAAGTTGTGGAGGAAAGAAATGCTAACCTAATTTACATGCAGGATCATTGATTTCATGATAATATCCTGGCAAACAGTCACAAACATCTTAAATCTCTTTGTGATAGGTGGCTATGCTTTGATTCATGTGAAAAGTGTGTTTGTGTGGATGTGCTGGCATCTGTTTATAGTACATCTGTGTTGCCACAATTAATTACCCATAAAATGATGCAGTTATTCATTAGTCAGCCTGCAGTGAAGCTAATGATGTCAGTTTAGCCATGGGAACCTCAAATTGATTTCCAGTCTAATCACCACTCCATGGGAAACAGTGTGTAGGGGGGTTGTGCTTTTCTCGAAAATGTTTAGATCTGTGACGAATCAGTCTACTTCCTGTTTTCAGGTTAGATGAAGAGTTTCACACTTTCACTGTTAAAAACATCCCAACCTTGGGTGCCTCTGGGATTAATTGAGCTGATGATCTGATGGGACATTCTTCCTGGATTCATACAGAAATTATTACTTTGAGATGACGACTGTGAAACAGCCAGGGCTTTCATAGTCTTTACTCTCCTTTCTATCCTTATAGGATCACGTAAATTTTAATAACTCAGACAAATCATGGTCGCATCTCCTCGTCTTAATTCCTTATGGTTGCCCCATGTCCTTCAAACCCTCAGGCCTGATCATTCTCTAGCTTTTTTTCTGTGAACTGTTCATCCTCTGTTCTGTCACTAGCCTTTCAGACTCTAATTAGAGAACCTCATACATGTCTCTACCTACTACATCTCCACCAGCAGCAGCATTTTAACTCTCACCACTACAATTTTGCAATTCCCTCCTGCTATGTGGTTTAGCAGATTAGTCAACACACGAAACAATTTACTGCTTGAACTCTGTACTTCAGTGAATTATGTTCAGTTGTTTCTGCTTTTAATTTTGGAGATTATAGCTATCACAGAACATTAATAATATACAGCTTTCTGCAGATAGTAAACATTGATGAAAAACCCTAAATTGCAGGACACTGCATTGACCTTCAAAATGCAGTTCCAGTTTTTATTTAAGGGGGTCAAAACATTGGGTGTAAATTGGACACAGTGGGGTGTACTTCCTTATAATAAAATTGTTGTGCAGACACAAGGTCAGCATGTTCGTTGCTAGAAGTTATTTCATTCCATTCACTTGTTCTGTTTGGCTTGTTGGGGTCAAAATGAGCTGTCTCATTTTATTCTCACTGGAAGAGAAAAACAGACAAAAAAAAACAATGAATGAATCCAGTCTGGGGCCTTTCTGTGTGGGGCTTGCATGTTTCTTTGTGTCTGTTTTGTCTTGGTATTCTGGCTTCCTCCCACAGTCTGTGTGGCATCAGGTTAATGAGTGATTCTAAATTGTTGGCTGTGGGTGTGTATGAATGGTTGTCTGTCTCTCTATGATCTGTAGCATACTGGCACATCTCACCCCATTGCCGTGACCCTGAACTGGATAACCAGAACAAATTGGATGGATGAATTGATGGATAGATGGATAAATAAAAAATGATATGCTTGAAAACGCTGCTACAAAAAGTATTTCACAGATTTTGGCTGCTTCTATTATATTGGAATGTTTAGTATTAGTAATATTACCCTTCCTAAGCTACTTTATTGGGCTTTCTTTCAATTTCTTTTAATTTTTCATCCATCTGTATAAACACAGTTTGAATTTGCTACGATAACTGCAGGAGGCTTCGTCTCCACGTCTTGATTTTGAAGGGTGAACTTCCATCTTTAAACTCTAGAGGCGCTGTAGGAGCTTTTCCACCGGAAGTACCTCATGTCTGCTCTATTGTGGTGAACTTTCACCTTAGGCTGTGCACGCTGGAAGAAATGGAAACTCAGTGAAGCAACGTGGGCAGGGATATATTAAACAATTATTTCTTGAATTTAGTGTCGCTGAAGCTTTTCCTCCTAATCTTTTGTTCCGCCTGGACTTAATCCGACGCGGCTCAAAGGTGAGCACCTCCTGTCTGTGAAAATGTGAGTTTGTTTACAAGCTGCTGACGGTTCACAGTGAAGCTAACTGTCCTGAAAGTAGCCCAATATTTTTTCTTGTGGATTTAACATCGTGTGCTATTTCATTTGGCATTTTCATCTAACAAGTGTGTCTGTTTTGTAAACCTGAATGCTTTAAAAGCTCATTTTTAAGCTAGCATTACCCAGTATAACGATAACAAAAAATTGTATCCTGTAGAAGTCGCAGGAAAAAAACGAGACTCCCAGGAAGTAAATAAACATAATTAACTATCATAGGATCTAAGATTTAAGCTGTAAACAACCAGAGGAGGGGAAGAGACAGTAATGTTAACTCAGCCATTGCTTTGTTACAGATGGGGAAGGCGCCGAAGAAGAGGAGCCTTGCTGACAAGGTGCGAAAGACCAAAACCTCCTCTGAGATCAAAAACAACCCGTTTGAGGTGAAAATCAACAGAAAGAAATTTGATGTCCTGGGGAGAAAAAGCAAGCATGATGTGGGTCTGCCCGGTGTATCTCGATCCAAAGCCGTCAATAAGGTAAGAGACAGCCCCTATTATGTTTTAATGAACTCACCTGACCTTGTGTTCAGGTGTGAGCTCACTTTAGAGGGATTTGCTGATGCTCAGTACTGTTTTATTAAATTGTATTCATATTTTTGGAAAGACCAGTTACACTGCATTGCGCGACCGTCAGTGCTGAAAACTATTTATCTAAACATCGTGTAAATCATATATGAATTTAACTATTAACTATATCTTTTTATGTTTTGTGTTTTCAAGTCCTAAACTGAAGACTTCCTGCTAACTTGACCTTTAACTTGACAGTTAAAAGTAGAGCTGGGCGATATGAGATTTTTTCATATCACGATATGTTTTTTTTTCCATTTCAGGCGATAACGATATCTATCACGATATAAGCCAAATAACTGTATTTGTAAGATTTAAATGTGCTGTTGCTCACAAGTAAAATGTGAAATAATCAGCAGCTTGTTTTTATTTAAATATTTATTTCCCATAATAAGTTCAACAGGGTAGAT